ATCCGCCAAAGCAGCCGTAAACCCACCCGCCATTGTGAAATTTAGCATGATTGCCCAAATAATTTTCTGCGGAAATGGTGACCATCAAGTTTTTGAAGGTCTAAGAACATGTGACCTCGTAAAACTAGGTCATTTACAGCAGGACCTCGTAAAACTGGTCCTCTTGAGGTGGAGGGTAATATATATATATATATATTAAATCGCCTGCAGGAAGACATCTGAAGTCTTCTCAATTCCAGTCTTCCGGTCATGCTCGTCTGATCCAAAGTAAACATCACTCAACCCACCAATCCATCCAGGAAAACACAACTTGTTTATCCCCCCGTACTTGTTACCTTGGGTGTGTTACATTGCATTTTATAGAAACATATCATTGCATAGAGCCTCATGCGCGGAGGATACTTTTTTTGAGCGTTGAATATCATCGTAAGCCATGCAGCCATGGGCCATAGTCTCCAATCTTTGTCGACAACCATCCACATGAAAGACTGTCAAATGTCAGCTACCAAGCAGCTAAAAATTAGGTCTAGACCTAGATCCACTATAGGCAAGACTTGCTTCCCCCCGCAACTGCTGAAACTGAAAGTGGTGAACGGAACCCCATTGGTGTTAGACCTCTCGCCGTCCAGCTCGACGCCTCGCGCGGAGCGCGCTGCGCTCCGCTGCTCCCTTCGGCCACGAGGGACACAGAACTTGGTGGTAATCTTCTGCTGGAATCGGCCCACAGCCCTGCGCCGTTGGACTTCGCCGGAGTAGAGAGACAAATGCCTGGCAAAGAGATCGATTGTTCGCAGCGTGAGAACGAGCTTTCGGTGCAGCTTGAACGGACCAGGGCAGACCGGTGAAGTGAGCCTTTCTTCCGACTTTGGAAACTGCCCACTGATAACGCCTCCGGGGCGAGTGAGTAGGTAGCAGTAGGAGGGGCAATTATATAAGTGAGTAAAAGGTCGCTCTTCAGCCATCAAAACACATGACACGGTGGTGGGTTGAGAGGAAAAAGCGAGGCACGTCTCAACCCGAGTCGAATGGCTGGGGAAGGGTTGAGCCGAGTCCAGGGACGCTGATTACGTGCTTCTGGTCGAGTCCCACAGGAAAGACACACAAAACGGTTTCAGGCCCAGAACGGCCAAAACGCAGGCATCTACTAGCGATGGCCTCGAACCTTAGAGAGATGGTCTCCAACCTAGTAGGGATGACTTCCAACTTAAGAGCGATGGCTGCAACCTAAGAGCGATGGCCTCCAACTTAAGAGCGCTGGAGCGATGGCCTCCAAGCTAGTAGCGATGGCATGCGATGGCCTCCAACCTAATAGCGATGGCCTCCATCTAAGAGCGACGGCCTCGAACCTAATAGCATCTACATACCAGCTGGGAGGTGGGGCATGCTCTTCGCACTCATGGCAAAAATCGATCAACGGATACGGCAATTGCTGTGTCAGCCAAGATCGATCGCAGGAATTGAACGCTTGCCACCAGAAGAAAAGAAACACAGGGATGAACAGTCTAAAGAAAAACACAGAATAAACGCTTCAGAAATAAACAATGATGGGAAAAAAACAAGGTCTAAAAACAAATAACAGAGAAACGGGTCTGCCATGGTCTGCCCATTGGAATTCCCAAAAATTGATCGCATAAGGCTGAAATATTATTTTAGACTAAGCTTTGGCAACTTGTTGCAAACATCCTCAAAGCCCATAATTTGAAGAATGTGTATTGCATAGTAGGAAAAGAACATCCTCGCCTACCTTCTAGTTCATGTCAAACACCTGACAACACTACAGTGCGAGTGCGATCAAGAACACAATGTAATCAACCACCACTTGGCATTCCCAGTGGGTCAACGCACCAGTTTAACCAGTTCTTTAGTAACGCACCAGTTTAACCCGTCCTTTGGACTTGCTGGGATTTACAAGCCAATGTAATCGACCGTGTCCGATCCACAAAGTGTTTCGAACTCGTCGAGTCCTCGTCGAGTCCTCGTCCCACGTGCCGTGCCTGATGAAGGAGTCGATGTGGAAGGCGCACGCCAACATGTTTTGCCTCGGCTGCTCGTGTTTGGTTGGCGCGCAAAAATGGGCTGTTTGACCAGCACCCACCTAGAAAACCCAATGGTTGACTAGGTTGACTAGGCAGCCATTTTGAGGGTGCTTCCGTCTGGCGCGCGATGAGTCGCCAATTTGTTGGATTTCTTGTCGATTTTGGGTTCGTGATTTTCTGCGATGGGAGGAAACGGCGGCCCATCAAACCAATCGTCCAACGGCAAGGGATGTTTTCCCCGAGGTCACCGGTCACCCAACATACCCTTTTTGTAGCTTCTTTCAAAGCAGCGAGGCGCAATTGGTTTTCTGGCTGCGAATCGTGATTCAGCTCGTGATTTAGCAAGATATCCAGAATTCCGGGTTGCAAATTGGCGGGCTTTTTCTGCGTCAGCATCTGAAACCCGTTGAGCCCTCATCGGTGTGCACCGATGGGATGGTCTTCATCGATCGATCTCAGGGATTTGGACCCTGCGACAGTGACCTCATCGACAAGGACTTTTCGTGACCTCATCCTGGGATTTCAAGGCCAGTCACTTTGAAGGTGCCAGTCCTGGTATACTTCTGAGATCTTCTGAGGTACGAAACAGAGGGTTTAGGTCGCCACAAATGTTCTTCCATTTTCATCCTCACCCACCGTCGCCCTGGCAGGTTGAAAATTCACAATTCCGAACCACTCAATGGTCATGAAAACATCGAGCACATCCAAACACTCCCTAGGGCTCCAGTCGTACCTTCTGAGAAAGTGGGACTGGGGTGGGTTTGGAGGGTCTAAATACCTTCTGAGGATGTACTTGGAGCCCTAGGGAAACAGTTTGGACTCCATCACAGTTGGCTTGGACTCCGTTCGTGGCCGAACTGACCATCCTCCAGTCTTCCCCTGGTTGCTTCCTTGATCCCTCGGTCACAGCTGGCGTGGTTGCTTCAAGAACTCTGAAGAAGCCGTTTTGGGTTCCCAATGTTTGGTTCCGCCATGTGTCCACGTCCACGTTCTCCCCTTGGGGTATGTACAACACATCCCCGCCTTGCCTGGACTTCTCCCCACAACTAAACCTCCGAAAATACCCAGACACTCCATGTTTGCCATATACGCCGCACATTGGGGTAGTTTTGGGGGGTCAATGGGGGCGGCATATATGGCAGTCCCATGGGTCGTGTCTGGGATAGATCTTTCATGATCTTTCTTTCCCTCCTTCCTTCTCCTCTTGGTGCGCAGTGTCTCCAAGAAAACACACCGGGCGCCCGGGCCGGTGACTCTTCAGTCGGGCGCGCATTCGATCCAGTTGGGCCACAATGCAGGCGTCCTGTGGAGCGATGGAACGTGATCGCCACGAGTAACTAAGGGCATGACCACTAGCAAGAAGCTATATGAGTAGTAATGCCCTTAGATACTAGTAGCTTCTTGCCTTTGCATGATAAGGTCGAGCCGGGAGGGCTTCTCAAAATCCTATAGGGATCCAGTTGTATCTTCTCAGGTGATTGGAGACACTGTTATGTAGGTTTGGAGGGTCCAAGTACCTTCTGAGAAGGTACTTGGATTCCTAGGGAATGTACCTGAACCCTCACAACTCGCCCACATGAGGCTGTGTCGAACACATCAATCACCCTGTGAGAAGGTGCGTGGATCAGGTCTGTATAGGCTGTGGTTGAAACCACCTGCTGCTGCCACTTGTGGCTGGACAAACTCAAGGGCTCCAGTGGATGGCAGGCAACAAAGTGCCATCTAGATCTAGAACCAAACAAATAGGGTTCCCCTTATAAATGCTCACAAATGCGCATTTATCATACTTGCTGCATGCTGTACCCATCTCTATGACCTGCCTCTGAACATGCGAGAACGAAGAGACCTGAAAAAGGTCAGTCTTCCCCCACAAGGGAGACGATGATTTTCATACGCACTCGATCCAGACCTCGGCCGCTCCAGAGTCGCCCGTCCTGAAAGTCCTCCAGGGTGAAGGCATAGGACTCCTTAGGATCCCAACACGCGCGAATCGATGCTGGACCGGAGCGCGCACTGGGGGGACTTGCTTCGCTCGTTCTTCGAAGGGGGGACTTGACCTGGGCAAATCCCATGAATTGAGGAAGACAGGAGGAGCGTGGTCTGCGGTCCCTACCGCCAGGAGCCCTAGGGCCCTAGCAAATGATACCAAATTCAGCTCCAGGCAGGTGTGGTTGTTGTCGACCAAGCCGTGAGTCTGGCGATTCTGGGATCAAGACTCTCAACAACGCCAAAATAGACCGTGGTTTTAAGACGGCGGATCCTTTTGGTTCGTCCCTATGGATGCAGTGCATGATCATGAGACCTATGATGTGTTCGACACGTTTACACTGTAGCCTTGGTGGGTCTAGTCGTTACCAAACCAGGTCGCTTCCGGTAGATCCCAAAAGAGGACCCTCCCAAACAACAGCAGGTTGGTCAGGTTGCTGAGACAGGGCATGACCGGTTTGGCCGAAAGATCGGACGTGTTCGGTCCAATGGTCCATGGGCCTGGCCGAAGTGACAGCATGAGGCTTAGAGCAGTTCAGGTGTTCAGGTTTGAGGGTCTAACCAACTTCTTCTGAGGATGTGGAAACGGAGCATCAGGAACAACCTGGTACACTGGTACACCACTCCCTTTGCAAAAGAACAAGAATCTTCCACAAACCTTCTGCTTGTCTCGATCATTGTGTATCAGGCAGTTCCTAAATGATTTAGATCTGAACAAATGCTGCTCCTCGATGGGAACCGCATGGTGGTAGAATCCCAGACACTCCATGTATGGAATAGTTACACAATTGTTACATACATTTACCCAATTGTTGACCCCAACCTGGAGCAACCTTTGTGTGCAATACAAATGCCATGTCAAACAAACATGCTTTCCGGAGCTGCCGTGCCAAAAAAGTGCAATACGTCACTATCTTGACCTGCACCTGGTGCAACAGAACACAATACGGGTGCAGAATTGATTGAGCCCTACGCAGCAAACCCTCCAGTTCAACTTGGGCATTCTAACATTTTACGCAGGGGTCACTCTTGGATGCGCTGCAACTTGCAAAAATTGACAAACAAGTCTATGGCATAAATTTGTGGGAATATGGCTATGGCGGACATTTGTGGAATTATGGCAACCGTTTGCCTGAACCGTTTAGGAAGCCGTTTTATGAGTTATGCGTACTTTCTTGGATGTGCTGGTTTGGAAGCCTGAAAAAAGAAATAACATGTTTTTCCATGCCCCGTTTCGAACATCAAACACCTGATGCCGCAGCCGAGGAGCCCAGTCGCGGAGCTTTTGCTCGAAAAGGCTCTTGGCACAGTTGTAGCTCAAGGCAAAACCCAAGTATTCGCCCAGCTCCTGAAACGCTGAGATGGTGAGGTTTCACCCGAAAAAGGTCGACGATCTGCCGTTGCGCCGCCCACGAGTTCTGCGCGGTCGAGCTTGGTTCTGACCGAACAACCATTGTTTTACTGTTTTACAACATAGCAATCGCACCTAGCTTAGATGGGTACCTAGGTGGACAAAAAACCCTGAAATCGTACAAATCACTACAATCGAATTTTGCACCACACCAGTTGAACCAGTTGAACCGGCTGCTCTGCACTTACGGAGTCATTCCATCTTCACCCACCGGGGTTTGTCACAGGGTTTTTCACGTGCTGGTGTCATTAATCCGAAGAAAACGGTGACGAACCCAGGTCATCCACCAACGGTGACCTGCTTCTTTTGATGTTTTTGTTGAGGAACCCAGCCATGTTTTAGGGCGCTGTAGACGAAGTGCTCGGCTCAATCGCAAGTTGGAAGGACGATGTTGGAGGTTCCAGCCTACGTTTAGACCTTCTTCATCTGCGTCCTCTGGCCTACCTTCGGTTTTGGGATTTAGACCTATTATGAGTTATTCAAAATCACATCAGGCGCTTTTGGATGTCAGATTCTTTAAGATTCAATTGATCCAACCAATGTCGAGATATATCTAGCCATGTCAAAATATGAGGATCCCAAAAAGAGGAAAGGAGAAACAATTCTCACAAGAAGTGTCCAGCATTTGCTTGAGAATCCACCGGAGTGATATACTATGCATACCCTACGCGCCCAAACCCTACAAATTTCGAGGAAACCCTAATCGAAACCTCGGAGATTTTGTGCAATCAACATACCGTGGGATTGTTCTTATAGAACCGTGGGTCTGGTTTTTCTAACCCATACTTCACCCATATGTCACCCGTATTTTAGTGGTTTGGAAAACCTCGGGTTTCCTTCACAAACCCTAGGTTTTTCCATCGACCCTACCAACTTATATAATTATAGGGTTTGGGCTACAAACAAATCCCTCCCAACCAATCAAGAACCTGTTTCCTTCGGTTTCAGCTGCCAACGACCTCAGAAATATCAGAAATTCCGAATCCACTGGGTCGGACATCCGTCTCATCCGCGGATCCGCACGCAGCATCTGCGCGGAGGTGAAATGAGTGTCCTGGAACTGTTCCAAAGACATCATGCAATCCTTAGATGAAGGTGACTGCTGCATCATACTCTCCAAAGACTTGCTTGGTTAGAAGGTGGAACCAAGGAAAATCCAACTGTCATCTGTTTATGAGCCACAGTCGACACATATGGAACTTCCTAACATCGAAGATGGCTTACTTTTCACCATCTCTTTGCACACTTTTTAGATTCACAGTTTCCGAACTATGATCATCCTGCTGAACTGCTGGGTAATGAGGCATAACGGTATAACTTGATGTATTTTCCAAAATGCGTGTTCCCATCTGAGGACACACATACACCAATGATCATGATTACGTGGATGGCAACATCCACTTCCATGATTATTTCAGGGAGTGCAGGTCAGAATCAGCATCCGGTGCGACGTCCGGAGGTCGCGGGCTCGTTTGTCTCACACCTTTCGCTCCACTCTGTACATGTGTTTTTATATTTACCTACCTTGGGGTGGTTGATCTGGGGGTCAATGTAGGCAAATCATTCATACGTGGAGTGTCTTTCCACAGAAAGGAACATCCCAAACAGGACCAATGACAAATGGAACTTGCATATTTACCTACATTGGGGGTTCAATGGGGTTCACATATATTCCATATGTGGTGTTGGGGCATCATCAAACATGACCTATGTGAGTGGAGGTTGTTATCTTGATTCCACTGTGTCGGCCGACATGTTTGAACCCCCAGTTCAAAGGCAAACCCCTATGTTCAAGAGCTTTGATGTCTCCTTTTACCTAACATGCTGATGATAGGAACAAACATCCGAACTGTTGTTCGGGAGAGGATTGAATTACCTTGAGTTTGCATTCCAAGCAGTACTTGCTTTTGCTACTGTTTCAGGGCAGTTATATAACATTGGTTGCTGTTCATCAGTCTTGCACCCTCACAATCCCTCACACAGGTACTTTCTTTCTACCACCATTGGCAGTGCTGGTGACCTGCCTAGCTCTCAAGCTGTCAAATACACCCTCCATTTACATCTCGTTACAGTCCTCAGTGTACATATCGCCTCAGTCCTCTTCAGGATTTCGTCTTCCACCAGACTGGCTCTGTTCTCCCCCCTCTCAAACCGGCAATACATCACTCCACCAAAAACGACACTACAGCGTTCCAGCGCTGGAATGACTGGAAGACGCTATATAAAGGCTTCTCACCGGTCTGAAGACCTGCACAAATTGGACCCAAACACTCCATGTATCAACCTATAGATTGAGGTGCTCTTTTTGCTGGGGTCAATGTAGGCAAAGCATCCATACATGGAGTGTGTAACATCAATCCATTTAGAGTATTGCCACCCTCCTATCAAGGCTGATGCTTGAAACTCTTATGTACGCGAAAAAAGGGGCCAGCTATGGCCAGTTGTGCCTTCTAAGGTTCTGTGGATCCTGAACCAAAAAGAACGGAATGAAGCCACTTAGACCCCAACCCCCCAGTTCGACAGGAAACATCCAGCTGAAAATCTGGAAATCCTCACCCATCTCCGGCCACAGCGGCGGAAGGACTCGCGAAGGCCATGAAGGCCGCGTCGGTGCTGTCGTAGACGCTTTGCGCGGCGGCTTTGAGCGCTTCCCAGAACTGTTTGGCGTTGCCTCCGACCAAAAGCTATCCGAATGGAAAAGGAGGCTAGAATTATATGCTATTCCCCAAACACTCCGCCGGACGGACATATTGACCGCCTGGGTGGTTGGCCTGGGTTCAATATTCACTATATGGCGTGTCTGGGGTGTTGCGCCGTTAGAAGCCACAAACGAAGCCACTGAAGGTGAGTCGAATGTGAGACGAAGGTAAGTCAAAGCAGCAGGTATGGACTGAGTAGTGAAGAGAGTCATAGATCAGCATGGATCGTGGCCCCTGTGTAAATGAAATTTATCAATGAATAAATATGCCTACATTGGAGCCTGAAACCATCTCAATGTATATAATTAGACAACAATAGTCCATACATGGAGTGTTTGGGTAGCATCGTGCAATCATTGAGAAGCTGGAATGACGAGGACCCGGATGTTCTGAATGAGACTCAAGGTAGTCCATGGTACTTTTTTGAGCTCAAGTTCAACCTCACAAACGCTCCCATCCAATCCAGGGGTACTTGAATCTCATTTACTATGCGGACCATGTGTGTGACCTGAAAAAGGAATCATGGATAGAAACATCATGCGAAACCAGTTGAACGTCAGCGATTCCGAACGGCATCCAATTCGGCCCGTCACGTCGAACTCTTTGTGACGTCAGCTTGGAATCCAAACAACCGCCCCACGGGCGGTTACACTCTCCCAATTCGGTAAGCTCTCGAGGAGTCAAACCCTGCGTCGCCCAACGGCTGCGCGAGGCCCGGAGTTTCCGTGCCCGCGCGGTTCGGCCGCGCTTGGCCACGTGGCCGGTGCCTCGAACATCCTTTTTCAGTTGCTGACAGAGCCGGTCCTTCTCAATGTTCCCCATCTCCTGGCGAGGGGAGTTCCAGCGAGTTTCAGTGGGAGTTTCAGTTGGGACAGTTACTGGTCCAGGTGTAGAGGGAGTTGGATGGTGAAGCACCTGCGCTCTGCGCAGCGAGGCTCAGTGATGGCCAACCTGAACAGCGGTCGCCATGAACAGAACGCTTCTCCCACCTGGTGCCCTGCACAAATGGGGGTCGGGGCCGATATAAACAGCTACAACATGCAACTTCTGTACTCATTGAAAGGAGGGTCCGGGTAAACGCGATATCTCCAAGCCATTCAGTTTTGGGCCTTTTCTTTCGACTTGCCATGCAAACAACCTCGCATCCATGCGACGTATACACTGATGGAGTGGATTTCGGCAAGTCACTCAACAGTCCACCGAAACGGCTCGAGCCAAACACTATGACCGATGCATCCAGGATTGGCTCCAAGTGTCCTTCATTCCCTTCACCCCCTCTCCGGCATTAGCGGGGTTCCTTGCGCAAAAGCGAAAAACACGCTGACGCTGATTGACATGGATTGATCGCCAGCCCCATTGGTCGGTCCCCAGTCCAGCGCTCCTTGTCGTAGGTGGACCTGGCGGACCCGGACGAAGACGGACGTGTTGGAGCTCTCCGGAGCCGGCAGCAAGTCTAGACTTAACACATGGACGTCGTGTGTTGCATGATGCTCCACGGGTGTTGGACGTTTCACCACGCTCGGAGAATCCGGTGGATCTGACTCTTCCACTCCGACACACCCAATCCACCATCCACACAGACGTCAGTACAGACGTCGTGATCTTGGACTTAAGATCACATTATAACTAAAACAACACCCCTGGCCTTGTACACCTTGCAGTGTACACCTTGCTTGCATCACCTTGGAGGCCCCTCGTCTCTGTTTCCGTTCGCCCCATCCGTTCGACCCGACCCGCGCCTCTTCTGCTTGGGCACCGGGCTGCGAAAGCTCGTCACCTCGAGGAGTCGAGCGACCGGTCTGGAGAGCCCCAAACAGGACCTGTCTGGGAGTGGCATTCATTTACACATTGGGAGTGGTTGACCTGGGGTCAATGTGTATAGGGGCATATATTCTATGGAGTCTGGAGTCGGTGATATCACCCGAATGCTCGTCGTACCGAACCTGAGGCTCTCACCAATTCCTTCACCGGGAAAGGTCTGTGAACGGAGCCTTTGGGGAGAATGAATTTGAAGGATTACCGGTGTGCTCTGTTTGGGCAGAAACGCTCTTGGGCCGCAGAAAAGACCTGTTTGGCTTCCACTTGATTCCAACCAGCATGAATTCGATGGTTCTTACCGAACAACTGAACAACCAATATAAGACAAAATAAGCATTTGACATCATTTGACACTACAAAGCCGGGTCCACCATTTGTTCAAAAGTCTCGGAAGGCAAGGGCTGCATGTAAGAACAAAAGCATGTGGATTCCACTCTTGGTGGACGGGCCTCTGTTCGGTCCGGTGGTTGTGTATGAGGCTTTGTCCAATCATGTGCCGGATTGGTGATGACTCACCATGGCATGGTTGCCTGGAATGGGCTGTCATCCGTACCAAATGGAATGTCTGGAATGCCAACATGACACTGGAATGTCTGGAATGGTATGACCCTCCCATGCCAACATGACCCCTGGAATGGGCAGGTGCTGACGCGACCTGTCTGGGACTGGCAGGCAGGCATAGGACTGCAGTCATTGGGGTGGTTGACCTGAGGCAGTCCCATGGAGTGTATGGGATTGGACCTGTCTTGCCAATCTCGAACCAAAATTTGTTCGAAAACAACGGTGTTTCTTCTTGATGGCTACAGGGGGTGTCTTTTTTCTCCCAAAACAGGGGGTCCAAACACCCACCTTGGACTTCGATGTGCGAACCAGGAACCGGGCAAGAAAACAAAGATATTCCCCGGTTCGCAGGGGATTCACCCCATGTGTGTCCATGGAACATAAAGATTCGCCTTGGCCTGTCAGCAAAACCAGGAAATGTTCCGACAAACCAAGTCATCCAGGTCACGGTGTTTCCCTCCGAGAGGGTCGCGGTCATCGCCATGCTTCCGCCTGACGGTCGTCGCAGCGGCATGCTGATGCCCGTGGTCGACTTCGGTCCTCATGTCCCGCCGACCATTCAATGGGTTCCAATGGACTATAGTCTATACTTCTTAGGGATCTCCATGTCCCAAGTGCTACACTGTTACACATTGGACCCTGATTGACACTTGAACATGAACGGCTAGAAAAGGAGTAGCCCTACAAAAAAAAAGGCACAAGTCACAAGACAAATAAGAAAACACATACTCGGGTCTTCACACTTGGTCGGTTTTACCAGCTCGTGGGTTGGGTGTCTTGAAGTAGCAGCATGTTCCAGCCTTTGTTCAGCTCGGATGCCATACTAGTGTGGGCCAGCTCCACTGCAACATTGCACTATCGCAGCCATGAGACATGCGACTGTTGGAATCGCACGTAAACACGTGCGAAACGTGGCACCAACAAATCACTCCTTTCGCATGGACCCGCTTGGTCACGACAAGTGCTGCCTCGGGAGTCCAATCTTTTGAACATGGTTTTCTTCCGTAGTCAAAATTTGGTTGAGAATGAACAAACGTTTGCCACAGTGCTTCCTGACTTACTATGCTGGCCTGATGTGGCACATTGAGAACTACCCATCGATCTGGAGCAGTATGTCATTGCAAACCCAGCGTGTTGCTTGCAGAACACCTCCTCCTTCCATCACCTTCTTAAGACCCAACAGTCCCAACAGTGCATCATGTCCGAACCAGGCCATACGGCCAACTGGACTTCTCCATGGCCGGTGGGTGACCATACGATGTTGATATCAAGTGGAAACTGAAGGCTTTTTGGACTGTAGCTACCCCAAAGGAGAGAACTTAAAAGTAAGGCTACTTACCAAGCAGGGGGACATCAACACAAAATACAACGCGTTGATCACGCTTTGCTATGGAGGTGAGTTTTAGACTTGCTAGTCTAGATTCTAGATACCTGGACTCTTCAAAATTGCCTAGTAATAGGGTATGCCCCAATTAAACACACAACATACTTGTAACTTGTTACTGTACCCCATTTTCGGAGGCTCCAATATCTTAGAAAAAGCATCTGCAACATACACTCCCACCGCCACCGAGCTCCCTCCGCGTCCGTTCGGTTCGGTCCGACTGGACCCGACGTGTTCACCAACAAAGAGTGTCCGTCCTCACCGTACTTCAGAGGGTGGCAGTGGATCCATAGGGTCCATAGGGCAGTGGATCCACTGAAAGAAGGATCAGCTGAAAACGTGGAAACAGGCCAAGACTTGTTGAATCTGCCCCTGACTCCCACCATTTTGGTTCCACGAGTTCATGTGAATGTGTGTTGAGTGGTCCAGTGGGGTTCCCCCAATCCTGAAAAAACACATGTTATCCACTTTGATCAACTTTTCGAGTGTCGCTCTCAGAAGAACTCTACCATCACTTTGGACCTCCCTTCTTTCCGCGTCGATCTTCTTACACCACTCGAAGCAACGAAAGGAAACACCCCCCGAAACACCACAAAAACGGCTCCAAGGACCTGGATCCGGTCGGCTCGGCAGTCGGGATCCCTGCGCTCAAACACACCGGGAGGGCCTCCAAAAACGAAGCCACTTGGATTCCCAGAAGGCAGTGGATATCCGTTCTTTTCGACCAAGCAGGCAGGCAGTGGCACGGAAATGCATCGTGTGCTCTCTGAAACATGGAAGTGGATACAAGATGAGACAAGTCTATAGCTTCGAGGGTGTTCTGCAAGTAAGAGGTGCTTACTCCTACTAGCCTCTAGCCAAACGCATCTTCTAAGGTGTGAAACCAACAACCTCCTCTTTTTGGTGTTCGTTTTCGCAACGTACTTAAGACTTCCTCCTCTTGTCCCCACGATCCCGCCACTCCTCGTGAGCCCCCGTCCGTCACTCTGTCTCACTCGTCCAAGTTGATGGAACTGGCTGCTTCGGACCTGGCGCGTCGAGATCCGCCACCGGGTCCGAACCCGTTCCGACCGACGGTTTCCTGCTGGCGCATTCTTTGTTGTGCCGAGAATCGGCGACCGGGGTGGTTGACTTT